TGCTCATCCACGATCCCGCCCCCCCCTCCGCGAGATTTGAACCAAGGGACTATCAATCTCGCGCCAGGCGCTTAACCAACCAGACCAGGATTGTTCTGTTAATTATGAGTCATCCAAGTGTTAGTGTTAATCACATTTATCGTGTGAAATAATTTTTGTCTATTTCTCAAGACAAAAAAACGAATCACTAAGATGTTTTCAACAAGAATTTTGACCAAAATCACGTACAGTTTTCTCTAAAAAATAAAAAAGTCTAGACAATTTATGTGACTTTGATACAACCGAATGGTACACTTAAAGTGTTTAAAAATTCTAATGTGTATTAAAGGGGTTATCAATGTTAAGTGATGAAATAAGTCGATGCATCAATCATTGTATGTAGAATTTATTTCATTTCTAATTGAAAAGGTCATAGATTTATTTCAAATCTGCCCTTTCCTTGTGAGGTAGTTAAAGTAATAGTAGTAGTAGTAGTAGTAGTAGTAGTAGTAGTAGTAGTAGTAGTAGTAGTAGTAGTAGTAGTAGTAGTAGTAGTAGTAGTAGTAGTAGTAGTAGTAGTAGTAGTAGTAGTAGTAGTAGTAGTAGTAGTAGTAGTAGTAGTAGTAGTAGTAGTAGTAGTAGTAGTAGTAGTAGTAGTAGTAGTAGTAGTAGTAGTAGTAGTAGTAGTAGTAGTAGTAGTAGTAGTAGTAGTAGTAGTAGTAGTAGTAGTAGTAGTAGTAGTAGTAGTAGTAGTAGTAGTAGTAGTAGTAGTAGTAGTAGTAGTAGTAGTAGTAGTAGTAGTAGTAGTAGTAGTAGTAGTAGTAGTAGTAGTAGTAGTAGTAGTAGTAGTAGTAGTAGTAGTAGTAGTAGTAGTAGTAGTAGTAGTAGTAGTAGTAGTAGTAGTAGTAGTAGTAGTAGTAGTAGTAGTAGTAGTAGTAGTAGTAGTAGTAGTAGTAGTAGTAGTAGTAGTAGTAGTAGTAGTAGTAGTAGTAGTAGTAGTAGTAGTAGTAGTAGTAGTAGTAGTAGTAGTAGTAGTAGTAGTAGTAGTAGTAGTAGTAGTAGTAGTAGTAGTAGTAGTAGTAGTAGTAGTAGTAGTAGTAGTAGTAGTAGTAGTAGTAGTAGTAGTAGTAGTAGTAGTAGTAGTAGTAGTAGTAGTAGTAGTAGTAGTAGTAGTAGTAGTAGTAGTAGTAGTAGTAGTAGTAGTAGTAGTAGTAGTAGTAGTAGTAGTAGTAGTAGTAGTAGTAGTAGTAGTAGTAGTAGTAGTAGTAGTAGTAGTAGTAGTAGTAGTAGTAGTAGTAGTAGTAGTAGTAGTAGTAGTAGTAGTAGTAGTAGTAGTAGTAGTAGTAGTAGTAGTAGTAGTAGTAGTAGTAGTAGTAGTAGTAGTAGTAGTAGTAGTAGTAGTAGTAGTAGTAGTAGTAGTAGTAGTAGTAGTAGTAGTAGTAGTAGTAGTAGTAGTAGTAGTAGTAGTAGTAGTAGTAGTAGTAGTAGTAGTAGTAGTAGTAGTAGTAGTAGTAGTAGTAGTAGTAGTAGTAGTAGTAGTAGTAGTAGTAGTAGTAGTAGTAGTAGTAGTAGTAGTAGTAGTAGTAGTAGTAGTAGTAGTAGTAGTAGTAGTAGTAGTAGTAGTAGTAGTAGTAGTAGTAGTAGTAGTAGTAGTAGTAGTAGTAGTAGTAGTAGTAGTAGTAGTAGTAGTAGTAGTAGTAGTAGTAGTAGTAGTAGTAGTAGTAGTAGTAGTAGTAGTAGTAGTAGTAGTAGTAGTAGTAGTAGTAGTAGTAGTAGTAGTAGTAGTAGTAGTAGTAGTAGTAGTAGTAGTAGTAGTAGTAGTAGTAGTAGTAGTAGTAGTAGTAGTAGTAGTAGTAGTAGTAGTAGTAGTAGTAGTAGTAGTAGTAGTAGTAGTAGTAGTAGTAGTAGTAGTAGTAGTAGTAGTAGTAGTAGTAGTAGTAGTAGTAGTAGTAGTAGTAGTAGTAGTAGTAGTAGTAGTAGTAGTAGTAGTAGTAGTAGTAGTAGTAGTAGTAGTAGTAGTAGTAGTAGTAGTAGTAGTAGTAGTAGTAGTAGTAGTAGTAGTAGTAGTAGTAGTAGTAGTAGTAGTAGTAGTAGTAGTAGTAGTAGTAGTAGTAGTAGTAGTAGTAGTAGTAGTATAGTAGTAGTAGTAGTAGTAGTAGTAGTAGTAGTAGTAGTAGTAGTAGTAGTAGTAGTAGTAGTAGTAGTAGTAGTAGTAGTAGTAGTAGTAGTAGTAGTAGTAGTAGTAGTAGTAGTAGTAGTAGTAGTAGTAGTAGTAGTAGTAGTAGTAGTAGTAGTAGTAGTAGTAGTAGTAGTAGTAGTAGTAGTAGTAGTAGTAGTAGTAGTAGTAGTAGTAGTAGTAGTAGTAGTAGTAGTAGTAGTAGTAGTAGTAGTAGTAGTAGTAGTAGTAGTAGTAGTAGTAGTAGTAGTAGTAGTAGTAGTAGTAGTAGTAGTAGTTTTATTTTAAATGGGAATTCATTTTTTGATCAATCTCAGTCCTAAACATCAATGAGAAGATTGAAGTAAAAAACAATACCAAGTGAATATAAACTTTATTCTATTACACAAGCAATTGACTGTCAGGACTCATTAGCTAAGTAGATGGCACGATGACGTTTGAAGCGAACGGTATTGGGTTCGACTTCCAGCGCGAGCAGATATATCCAGTTGAAGAGTTTCAAATAGGATGAAATTAGTGTCCTGGACTTCATGGCTAGCCACTAACAATCTTTGCTTATATTCAAAACTTCATTTATATTCGAAATTTTTAACTAGTCTGCTGGTAATATGAACTCCTATACTAAATATTCGTTATTGTCTAAAGTGATAAGTTGATAGAAATGAAATTCATGAAGCTTATTTTATTCTATTTGATACTAATCAGGTAGATAGACTTAGATCTTGATAATGATATTCATCATGAAATACAGATCCATTATTCATCACTGCTAATATCAGCGTGTTTACCAATAGACTACTTAGCTATGAAATCCATCACATTCTTTAATGGATATGATATACAGTATATGTAAAGGCATCTACGTTATTGTAAACAGTGTCAAGTCAATATCAATTTCTGTTGTATCTGCCTTTTCTATGCTCCACAGTTATAAATTCTTATGATATGCCCAAATAAGACATCCATTAATGAATTCGACAATAATGTCTGTTAAAAATAGTGAACATTTGCATCTGTTACGAAATAAATGCCCCCCCCCAAACTGTGCTATTTGTAAGTTAAAAAGGTCATTGAATAAAGGTCAGAAGTGATTTAGAGTAACGTGTCAAGTCTCAATTAGTATAATAGTAAATGTGACGAAATCGTGTGAATAAAATGCATAATAGGAGAATTTCATCTTGTTAATTGATGTAATAATTGATGATAATAACAATCGTATTAATAATATCGTTGTGTGCATATAATATGTAATAAGAGGGGTGTTATCAGGGTAATTATGATAAAAAAAGGTGTCATGTGAATTTGGGGTAGATGAATGTGAAGATTAAGATAGATGTAATCAAAAAAAAAGAAAATGGGTTGAGGGTAAGGGGTATTTGGTGATCCAGTCATAGGCCAAGGTAAACATAGAGGCTGGATATACCTTTTCTGAACATATAAGTTTGGTTTTCTGGAGTTGATCCAGATGGCTTCGGCTATGTATAATAGTCATAATCTAGCTCCTTGAAGTAGATTTTTTGGAACTTGATATAAAATAGAGAAACCTCCATCTAGTTTGATATGATGTTCACTATCTTCCAAGTGAGAAAGAATAGTACTGTTGATCGATTTAGCAACTCCTTTTCCTACCCATGCTGGTACATGTTGACAAATACGCAAGAATAAAGTCCTATGAGTACGGTCTATGTATCTAGCTCCACAAGTGCAGTTAAATTAGTATACACACATAGAGGAACCCATCATCGGTAACCTATCCTTATTTTGTTGTGTAAATGCTGGCTTAATTGAGAAAATTATATGTAGCTTAATTTAAAAAACTTGGTCGTATCATCAAACATCACATACCAATACATAAACTTACTTACGCCTGTTACTCCCGATGGAGCATAGGCCACCGACCAGTATTCTCCAACCCACTCTGTCCTGGGTCTTCCTTCTTAGTTCTATCCAATTTTGATTCTTTCTTATGTTTGTCTCTAATTCTCGGCGTAATGTGTTCATTGATCTTCCTCTTCTGTTTTGACCTTGAGAATTCCAGGCGAAGGCTTGTCTTGTGATGAAGTTGGGTTCTTACCTCAATATGTGTCCTATCCACTTCCGGCACTTCTTCCTGATTTCTTCCTCCACTGGGTTCTGATTTGTTCTCTCCAACAGTAGGTTGTTGTTGATAGTGTCTTGGCAACGGATCCGATATATTTTGCGTAGACAAAATACATAAACACAGACATAAGTGAGTAAATAAACCTGTATTTAGTAGAGATATGCTTTAAAGTGTATTATCTATCTTGATCGACAAAACATACACACACTTACAATGTTATCTCTAACATTTCAGCTTATTCAATAATCAAACTAAATTAGAAATATGTATTATGATGTAGATCACCAACGTAGATTATCTATGTCGAGTGATCGAAAGACTACTCCAGTTAAACGGGAATGACGTGACGAACCAGCTAACGTCAAAGTCACACCTCGTGGTCAGCACCTTACGTGGACTACCCCATTGCCATATCAAGGTACTATAGATGCTTTGAAGACTGTACAACATAGATGACGTTATTACAGAAATATATTAGTTAAAGTAGATACAAGCGAAAGTAAGACCACCGCCGCATGGGCCAGTCCATGGCGTATGATTAACTGATGGGCGTTGGATGTCCTTGACCTTGACGAGGATCGATGATTTGTTCGATAATCAATGACCCAACTACCGGATGATTTGGCTAAGGTTCAGTGGAATTTCATTGGCTCTACAATAATATACACCTAATTTGAATCCTTTAATTGTCATCTACCCTTTATTCTTTTGTTTTTCTTTTTTTACAAAATCATGTATAAATAGCAATTTGGAAATGGATTCTTACCATTACTAACCAATGGTGATATCAAATTAATTTCAAGTGATCAGTCTAATATTGATACAAATGGAAAGTCTAATAGCTTACAAACAATTAGACAAAGATTAATAACAACATGGAAAGCTGGTGTGGTAAGTCATGTAAAACTATATACAGATATGTATATATATATTCATATGATGTAATATGACCATCGGACTCGTTAGATAAAGTTGAATGTTATCTGGTTGGAACTATTTGATACATAAACCTGATTGATTTAGGGTTAGTGATAGTTAGGTATTTATTAGCAAACTCTATCCGGAATAAATCCACCTGAAGTCCCTTTGGGGGGCTACTGCCGGTCCCATGCCCGGATAAAGGAGGAGGATTGGGCATGGGGTTAGCGACCCCATCCCGTAGAAAACTAACTCGCTAAAAAAAACGCTAACCAGAAAAAAAATTATTCAAACCTTTTAAGTCTGCTGTAGCTCTTATAGGGTTGCTGCCGGTCCCAAGCCCGGGTAAAGGAGGAGGGTTGGGCATGGGGTTAGCGTCCCCATCCCGTAGAAAACTAACTCGCTAAAAAAACGCTTACCAGAAAAAATAATCCAAACCATTTTAACTCTGCCCTGGGAGTTAGAAGGTCTTCATTTAGAAGAATTATGACGCTTCATGGTGAAAGCCGAGTTCCTTCGGAAGCCACGAGGCCGATGCCCTTCTAACAACCAGAGCAAAAATTTTTATAGGTACATGGAACGTTCGAACAATGTGGGAGACCGGGAAGACAAGTCAAATAGCAATGGAAATGAGGAGATACAACTTAGCAGTACTGGGAATCAGCGAAACCCACTGGACCCAAGCTGGACAGAAAAGGCTAGCTACGGGAGAGATGCTGCTATACTCCGGTCACGAAGAGGAAAATGCTCCACACACTCAGGGAGTCGCTCTTATGCTGTCCAAATAAGCACGAAATGCACTTGTAGGATGGGAATCTCACGGATCCAGAATCATCAAAGCATCATTCAAAACAAAGAAGGAGGGGATCACAAGTAATATTATCCAATGTTATGCACCCACCAATGATAGCAACGACGAAATTAAAGATCAGTTCTACGAGCGGCTGCAGTCAATCATTGAGAAATGCCCAAGAAAGGACCTAACTATTCTGATGGGAGATCTAAATGCCAAAGTCGGAATAGACAACACTGGATATGAAGATATTATGGGACGACATGGACTGTGACAGAGAAACGAAAATGGAGAAAGATTTGCAAATCTATGTGCATTCAACAAATTGGTCATAGGAGGCACAATATTTCCACACAAGCGTATACATAAAGCTACATGGATCTCACCGGACCACACCACAGAAAACCAGATAGATCATATTTGCATCAATAAAAAATTCCGAAGGACAATGGAAGATGTGAGAACCAGGAGAGGTGCTGACGTAGCTTCAGATCACCACCTAGTTGTAGCCAATTTGAAACTGAAGCTAAAAAAGAACTGGACAAGTGGACAAACAGCAATACAAAGGTTCAATACAGCCTTCCTTCGAGATACTGACAAACTCAATGAATTCAAGATAGCTCTCAACAACAGGTTCCAAGCCTTACAAGATCTACTGAAAGAAGAAGAAACTACTATGGAGGACAACTGGAAAGGCATCAAGGAAGCATTAACTTCAACGTGTCAAGAGGTTCTCGGTCTAAAGAAATACCATCATAAGGAATGGATCTCTACAGAAACACTGGACAAGATCAAAGAAAGGAAGAACAAGAAGGCAGCAATAAACAACAGCCGAACACGAGCAGAGAAAGTCCAAGCACAAGTTGAGTACATGGAGGCAAACAAGCAAGTGAAGAAGAGTATTAGAGCCGACAAGCAGAAATACGTAGAAGAATTAGCAATGACGGAGAAAAAAGCTGCAAGAGAAGGAAATGTGAAACGTTTTTATGATACAACGAAGAAAGTAGCAGGGTAATATAGTAAACCAGAGAGGCCGGTCAAAGACAAAGAAGGCAAGCCAATCACCGAAATTCAACAACAGCGTAACAGATGGGTAGAATACTTCGAGGAACTCCTGAATAGGCCGGCTCCAATGAATCCACCGGACATCGAAGCAGCACACATAGATCTTCCTATAGATGTCAATCCACCAACTACGGAAGAAATTAGAATGGCCGTCAGACAAATCAAGAACGGAAAAGCAGCAGGACCCGACAACATATCAGCTGAAGCACTGAAATCAGACATCGAAACAACCACAAGCATGCTTTATCTTCTATTCAAAAAGATTTGGGAGGAGGAACAAGTGCCGATGGACTGGAAAGAAGGACACCTCGTCAAGATTCCAAAGAAAGGAGATCTGAGCAAATGTGAAAACTACAGAGGCATTACACTACTGTCAATACCAGAGAAAGTCTTCAACAGATTGTTGCTGAACCGGATGAAGGATGCAGTAGACGCCCAACTTCGAGATCAACAAGCTGGATTCCGTAAGGATCGGTCGTGCACAGACCAAATTGCAACACTACGGATCATCGTCGAACAATCAGTTGAGTGGAACTCATCACTATACATCAACTTCATTGATTATGAAAAGGCATTCGACAGTGTAGATAGGAGGACATTATGGAAACTTCTTCGACACTACGGAGTTCCTGAGAAGATTGTCAATATTATCCGGAACTCATACGACGGACTACAGTGCAAAGTAGTGCATGGAGGACAGCTGACAGATGCATTCCAAGTAAGGACCGGAGTCAGACAAGGCTGTTTACTCTCTCCCTTCCTCTTTCTTCTGGTGGTCGACTGGATTATGAAGACCTCAACATCTGAAGGAAAACACGGAATACAATGGACAGCTCAGAATCAATTAGACGATTTGGACTTCGCAGATGACCTAGCTCTCCTATCACGTACACACGAACAGATGCAGATGAAGACAGCCAGTGTAGCAGCAGTCTCTGCATCAGTAGGCCTCAGCATACACAAAGGGAAAACTAAGGTCCTCAAATTCAAAGCGGAGAACAGCAATCCAATCACACTTAATGGCGAAACTCTGGAAGATGTGAAATCCTTCACATACCTGGGAAGCATCATCGATGAACATGGAGGATGCGATACAGACGTAAAAGCGAGGATTGGCAAAGCAAGGGCCGCATTCCTACAATTAAAGAACATATGGAACTCAAAAAACTTTAAACCAATATCAAAGTGAGAATCCTCAATACGAACGTCAAGGCAGTTCTACTGTATGGAGCTGAAACTTGGAGAACTACAACAACCACAATCAAGAAAGTACAAGTATTTATAAATAACTGTCTACGCAAGATACTCAACATCCATTGGCCGGATATCATCAGCAACAGCCTTTTGTGGGAGAGAACAAACCAGCTGCAGAGGAAATTAGAAAAACGTTGAAAGTAGGACAAACATTGAGGAAACCACCAAACTGCATCAAGAGACAAGCAGTAACTTGGAATCCTGAAGGGAAGTGGAAAAGAGGAAGGCCAAAGAACACATTGCGTCGGATAATAGAAGCAGATATGAAGGATGAATAACAACTGGCAAGAGTTGGAAATGATTGCTCGGGGCAGGGTTCGATGGAGAGTGCTGGTGGGCGGCCCATGCTCCTCCACGAGGAGTAACAGGCGTAAGTAAGTAAGTTTTAAGTCTATCTGGAATCATAATGGAATAGATTCTCTCCTATTAATTCGAATCTAAGTCACCATGATTCATATTTTGATGTTATTAATGGTTCATTTAGATTGTTATTCAGCTCTGATAAGATTGAAATATCCATATTCATTAATCGCTGAATAATGGTCAATGTTGTATTTGTTCAGTCTTGAATACAAGTCAAATTCTATCAATCACTTTATAATACTGCCAATAGTTTAAGAAACTTGAGACCATGAAACTAAATGTTTAATCTACTCTCTATTTCACTTGAATTTTCATCCAAGTTATAAGAATACAAGATATGAGACTGTATATGTTTCATTGAAACAATATCAAAGTGTCATTGATTCATAAATTGACAACAAATATCTACCTGTCCAGTTTGCTGCTCTCCATATCAATGCAAAGAAATGGATGATTCACATGATGAAGAGTAAATGAGTTGAAATAACAGTCGTAACAAAGTAACCACTTAACATTTGCAAAATAAAGTAAGAATGAAGCCAAGAAGTACAAACGTATTATGGATTAAAATTTTGTGATTTAATGATAAAACACTTAATAATTGAATTCATGAGTCAATTGAAGCTAGACCACAATGAAAAACCTGAAAGCACTGGACGGCCGTTTCATCCTAGTATAGGATTCCTCAGCATTGAGCATCCACGATCTCGCCTCACGAGATTCGAACCCAGGATGTATCAGTTTCGCGCGCGAACATTTGATGGCAGTTAAATTAGTGAACGCATTATTGATTTATTGCAGTGGTATGCGACGATAAGATGTGATCGAACAATAGCTGCTCATGAAGCTGGAATAATGACGTAACTCCTCTCTAACTGATAGATTATCAGAGGAGAAAACAGCTCCCCAGTAGAGTAGGCTTTGATATAAAATGATATGTTAATATACAAAATATTAACAGAAAAATAAGCATAATTAAACGTTGTATGAGATTGGGGTAAATTATTTTTATGGGTCACTATCTCCCCCCAATCGAATAATACTTTTCATCCACCCCCGCCATCATATCAAACAATACAAACGTTAATACTGAACAAAACCTGAAGGAGTAAACAAGTGGTAGTTATCAGGAGGGGTTTTGTGGAGATGTTAGTAATTTCAATAGTTGAAATCATGAGTCAATTGAAGCTACGTTCTGGGTTCGAATCTCGTAGAGGGGGCGGGATCATGGATCCACACTGCTGAGGTGTCCCATACTAGAACGAAACGGTCGTTCAGCGCTTCCAAGTTTTCCATGGTGGGCTAGCTTCAGTTGACTCATGATTTCAACGATTGAAATGGTAGTTAGTATTATTAGTAAATGAAAGACAAAATAAACTGTTAAATAATAATGTTTCAAAGACGACATGAATTCAAATCTTTACACACCAGTAATTTATTCAGAAGTAAAGCTAAATCTCTATGATGAATACCAACCAAGAAAAGCTATAATCTGTGGCTTATCATTGATTGTTTCCAACCATCATACACCAAATGAATTGTACCATCAAGTTGAACCATTAAGTTCGATTAATATATTATACATTTGATTTATAGAATTCAATCTGTACACTTAATATAGGACAAAAGAGAACTGATTATGAAATAGTTACCGATTCGTATTCAGAGAAGAATAAAACAAGAATTACTGTATTTGTCTATGACTTGTGGCGCATATATCTATTTGTTGCCTCCTTGTACCAATGTTTATGTGTTTAAACAAATAAGCCTGATAGTTGAATTCATGAGTAAATTGAAGCTATACAACCATGGAATACGTGGAAGCACTGGACAGCCGTTTCATCCCAGTATGGTACTCCTCAGCAATGCGCATCCACGATTTGAACCCAGGACTTGTCGATCTCGCATGTGAACACTTAACCACTAGGCCATTGAGCTGGTCGGCATCTAACGGTGTTAATGTCTAACTTCAACTAATCCATAAAATTGAGAGACACATCCACCATTGTCTTCAGTGAGTTACTATCTCACAATAGACCTGGTTAACTCCCCTAGTCATTTTTATAGAATAAAAACTCTTCTTTCATTTTCATATTAAAACTCTTCAAATGGACTGAATAAATTGTATAAGATGACTACTTTTTTTCTTTTTTTAACCGATACTACTCTTATTTATCATTATTTTCTTTTTATTCTTTATTATTTTAGCCATCAGGATGGTTAGATGCTTCTACATTTGTTAGTCTTACATCATCTAATGCTGCATATTATTTAGGTTTATATCCAAATAAAGGATGTTTATATCCAGGATCAGATGCTGATTTAATTTGTTGGCCATATGATAATATAATTAATTGTACTATTCAACATCCATCTTTAGTTATTCATCATGGGAAATTAATAGTATACAATGGTAATCTTATAGAAGATATAAGTAATAATAATAGCGATTTAAAGATTATACCATGTAATCATCTGAATGAAATTCAATCAAATCAACCACTTGGAATGTTACAAACCGGGAAATTATTTCCTTCTACTATTTATGATCTGGTTAATGCATTTGAAAGAGTAAGTGTTTAGAAAAGATAGAATAAGTTGATTTCATTTGAGTAAGGATGAATAAAGAATAACATATTTAAGATATAATCGGTGAGTGGTTTTGTGGATATTATAGTAATTTAATAGTTGAATTCATGAGTCATTTGAAGCTAGACCACCATAGAAGATCTGGAAATACTAGAAGGCCGTTTCGTTCTAGTGCGAGACTCCTCAGAAATGAGCACTCACGATCCCGCCCCGCGGAGCTTGAATCCAGGACCTTCAGTCTCGTACATAAACACCAAACTTCTAGATCACTGAGCCGGCATCCGACGGTGCTAATGTCTAACTTCAACCGATCCGCGAAGTTGTGCCATTGTCCACTATTGTCTTCAATGAGTTACTTTCTCACAACAGACCCGGCTGAACTCTACTGATCATGGCTTCTCATTAGAACTCCAGAAAATAGATCTTGAATACCGTCACTAGTGACGGTGTAGTACATAACATGACACTAACCAACGCTGTTGGTAGGTAATTCCCTTATTCTCAATATAGTCGAATTTCATTAAATAATAAATTTTCACTATAGCACAAGGAATCCATTATCCATGCAGCAGTTAGTCAGCACATGATTAATGTTTACACGAAATGTTTGCAAAGATTCGTTTAGACTGAAGTTATGAAAACCAATTCCCATAAACTTCTCAATCACATACAGAAAAACACTTGACCTTTATCAACATCCAACAATTCTGATATTCTTTGAATTAAGATGTAGATATCACTCAATTGATTATCAGTGAAATAAGTGTTTATATCACTAAATATCCTTCAACTTTTCATGTAATTGTGTTCGTCCACAAGTTCTTTAGAAACCATGAAAAGTGTTGAGGGCATTTAGTCCAATCCCTACATGACATAAAAACTCCTGGAAACGTAATGGATTTTATGTCATACTTTGAGTGGATAACTGTTTGCTCTGTAACTGAATTTAGTATTGTCTCAGAGATAAAATTTGGTACAGAAGGCAAAATATGCGCACAAAACAATGAGAATTTGCAGAGAAGGAAAAAAGGTAAGGGCGTAAAAAAACGATAACGAATAGATAATGTAAGTGTGTTAATAAAGGGGAAACAGAACGTACACTCAGAAGATCTTTCAGTTAAGGAAGAAGCAAACATTTATGAAGAAGAAAAGGACAGCAGGATCGCCACTGGCTTCTATTCTGAGCCATATCTGATAACGCTACTCGAGAATTTAGATAGAACCGAATTTCCACCAAGACACTGTATGAGTCGAAAATAAGGAAGACAGAGTAGGATAAAAGAGAGGAATAATGACGTAGTAATAGTAACAATAGTAACTAATAATTGAATCGTTGATTATAGTGAAGCAAGAAAGTATTTCCATAATTATCGACGGTATCATATTTGTGTAAGGGCTGTGAGGCTGCTCGGATGCCCAGACAGAAGTAGGTGGTTTTCTTAGTGGACCACAACCGAAGCCTTCAACCTGAAGGTCTGATCCACAAGCCAGTGGAGCAACGTCAGGAGATGCACTCCTATGGTAGCCGGACCACGATGGTTCATACGCCATTTTCCGCAGGATACTGGAGCCCATGTGCACCAGAGATAACCAGAATTCATATAACCTTGTAAATACTCTTATTTCCTGTGGATTAAGAAACTTTGAAATAAAGCTTCTTCTTCTACTTTGTGCCATTGTTGGCCTTTTAATCTGATTCTAATTAGATTGTTTGATAATGTTATCGAAATATACATCCCAGCTATCCTCGTATATCATTATTGACTTAAGTCATGTTATGAATAATGGGATAACATAAGTCAAATACGAAGATGAATTTTGAATACGTATATATTCTACACTCGTTGATCTGAAAGAACATTCACAATGAAAAGCTGGAAAGCAAAACGAAGCGGAGAATGTCGTTGAAAGAACGAAAAACGAAGCGAGGCGAGTGAGCCAACTCGATTTGAGCAAGTATGACTGAATATTTATAGTCAGACAAAAATAAGCTATAGACATGTTATGAGTAGAATAAGCAATGTACACACATACGCCCTTATAAAAGCAGTCAAAGTTAATAAACGAATAATTAACAAATTCAAAATGTGACACAACACGAATGAATAGACTAATATGGGACTGACATGATACTAGACGCTACTCCTTTCCTCGATTGTTCAGATCTCAAGTGTGGAAGAGTTCTGGTGATTCAGGAATCAGCTACAAAGTCAATATCAAGCGTTTTAGTTGTGGATTTATCAATTTTACGCATACATAAATGACATACACAACATATTAGTCTCATATATCGACATTCATTGAATTAATATCGAATTATTGGATAATCTAAAGTAACAAACATAAACATTAATTTGAATGGCAAGACTATTTTAACTTATATTAGATGCTTGTTAAGGACTGTTTTCAACTAGTGTACATCACAAAGTATAGAACAACCTAAAACGATCTAGTTTAAGACTCTTCAGCAGTGAATAATCAAAATGATGTTCTCCTTTCATTACTATAGAAATGTTACTGTTTTTTATTCCTCAAATTAGTTACGTAAAACAAATCAAATGCCTGTTATTCGTGAACCTTGGACAATGAATAATTTAAGTGGAGAATTAACAACAATTTCAAAAATAACAAACCATCATGATAATAATAATAATGGTAGTGAACAAACGAAAGATGGAAATCCTCAAAATTTAATGACAACGCCAATCAACATACGTACAATACGTGGTAATCGAGATTTACATGCTTCAGGATTTTCATTAAGTGGTTAGTTGTTAAACATTTTTTTTCATTATTTTGATACAGTTTTATGTTTAATTGTATTTGAAGTTAAGATTATTGATGATAAGGCTTGTAAAACTATGCAAGTTATCATATTTAGCTCATAAATGTGTCAGGAACTTATACTACCGAGTAAGTAACTCAGTTGTTAAGAAACGGGAACTAGGTAAAGATGACAAATCAATTGATAAAGTAGGGAAACTTCATCAGTTGAGATGGCTGGGACACGTGTTACGTATGCCCAACCACCGACCGGAGTAGGTTGGAAATACGCTAGGGGTGGCCAGACTAAAACATGGTACAAATCCATGAAGTCACTGACAAGTGAACTGAGACATGTTGGTAGGTGTAGACTACCTGATTGGGATCCACGAGACGATAGCAACCGATGGTTAGAGACTTTGAATGACATGGCTCAAAATCGTTTGCAATGGCGCAGGTGCATCCACTCTTTGTGTTCTCCCAAATTCTAATCTTCTGATTTCTTCATGTCCTTTTCTTTTTTTCTCTTTACAAATTTACTTCACTGGATTATACTCCTTGAATAACGTCTTCAAACCCTAGTGTTTCCGATTACTGCTGATACTTTTACTACCTCTATCACTACGGGATTTGAATCGAAAATTGTATCTGTGGGCTAATGTGGTATGGCAACTTGAACTGATGTACGTACGAAGTTTTACGTTGTTGCTGACTGACTGACTATTACCTATCTTTAGAGTCGTTCTCAAGAAATGAATGGCCTTTTTTTTACAATTTCATAACAGCAAGAAGCCGTCATTTATTGGTTAGGGATACGTTTTTCGGATAATTTAAGCATTGTTCTAATGTACTCTTCTACCTAACAGGGTTTGGTACTTCCCAAAGTACTTGTTAAGGAGCTGGAATCTCTGAGTTAATGATTGAAAGAATAATACGAATCTTCCCTACTACCACTACTGATACCGTTATACTACTTCTAGTAATCTGATATTTGCATTTCATCTCACTGTACTAGTGATGTGGCAACATGAACCGCCCCACACGTGTGCCAGGTTCCACATTGTAGGTTCATTGTCATTTCAGCGGACTGCACACTAAACCTTGTTGCTCCTCATATATGGTAAGACACATGTAAACTTGCTATTTTATCAATCTCCTGATATTGTAGATACAAACTGATAGAAAGTAAGCGAAGCCCTTCATATTAAACTAGGTTTTTAGTAGGTATTCAGATATTTCCAATAATCTCACACAAATGAGAGAATTTTGTGGTGATAACGATAGAAACACAGGATGAATCATAATATAATGTTTCGATAATCATAGTGGGACAATAGGTCTACTCATTTTTATCAGATCAGGAATATACAGTAAGCTTGTTTTGGTATTCACAACATCCCTATAAATGTGATGGAGCTCCACCATGTGTAGGTGAACATACAACTTGACTTCAAACATCCTTATAAAATCTACTCATTTTAAATGGTTGGATATGGAGTAGCAACCAGTGTGATGTATGCCTAATTCTTACAGATGATAGAATCCTATCGACTCAGCACGCAATGTAAGAAATAGTCTAAACAACTTGAAATCACAATGGAATATGTTCTGATTTTAGATAATGGTTAGAGCTAATTCTAGTTTTAGGAATATAAGTTGTTTGTCAAATTCAAACCTGTATTGAAGTTAAAGATCAATCGTGACCGGAGTCCGAATCCTCCAGGCGATCTCAGTTCAGTCGAGACTGCTGACGAGCGCCAACTACCAAGAAACCTAGGTCAGACAGGATTTCCTGTTGACCACTTTCAACTACCTAGAAACCAAAGAGAGCTTTCTATCAATCGCTACTTATTTATCATTTTATTTACACATATTCTGTTTTTATTTGAATTTTTTATAATAAAAAAAACAACAAAGGAGCTCAAGTTGACGATGACCGACCAATAAGATCAACAATTCGTACACAACAACAAAGTGAAACAAGAAATCCATTGTGGTAAACAGACCACAAACACATACACACATACGTATAACATTTATTCACCTTTTTTCTCACAATTGGTCACTACTCATCATTCATCCATTCGAATTACACACCAGCACCATCATCATCATCATTATCGTCATTATAAACACATTCTAATTAAATATTAACTCTTTTCATTATATACACATATAAATATAATATCCAGTTTTGATAAAGTACATTAAATACATACAAAAAAAATACTACAGTACTAATAGTAATGTTAAATTTGAGTATTCTCACATAATGGATAAATGGGATATTTCTTAAAATTAGATTTTCTTTCTGTTATTGTTTTCACCGAGAAAAATTGAGGGAAAACGACATAACGATGAATGTATGTAGATATATATATACAATAATGGTAAGGCAAAATAGCAGTTCTAATAATAAAATAATAATAATAATAATAGTGTAGTCATTCTAACTGATTTACAAGAAAGAACAAAGAAGACTTCAAAACTTCGACTTAGATCAATAAGTAACACCGAGTATAATAAACATTGAAAAGATTCATGGAAAAAGAAAAAAAGAACAAACATCTTTGTGTAGTCCTTCTAGTTGATTTACAAGAAAGAACAAAGAAGACTTCAAAACTTCGACTTAGATCAATAAGTAACACCGAGTATAATAAACATTGAAAAGATTCATGGAAAAGAAACATCCTTGTAATATATTTTTTGTAAAAAATGCTGCTGACATTTACAACTAATAATAATAATAATAATAATAATAATAATAATAATAATAATAATAATAATAATAATAATAATAATAATAATAAGGCACAATAAATGAATGAACATATCGTATCAAAATATATGGAATCATATGAGTGAAGGCACAGAGTTAACGAATAACTGAAGAAAAATAATAATAATAATAATCGTACAAAATAAAATACTGTATATAAAAACCAATATAATGAGTACTACTAAGAATAGGTAGTAGTAGTAGTAGTAGTAGTGTTTATAGGGACAAATAAATGCACTAGAAAAATATCCCAAACAATTTGACACTATTGAATTCAAATAGTGAAATTACAAAAAAAATCCCAAAACAAAACAAGAACTCAGTAGTATGAAATGCAATGCATCATCCTCTCTCTTACGCCTGTTACTCCCAATGGAGCATAAGGCCACCGATAAACATTCTCCAACCCTTTCCCTCTCTCTACCGATGATTTTATGAAAGGTAGAAAGTAAAACAAAAATGCAAACTATCAATAATAATTGTAGAAAAAAAAACAGAAAAAAAAAATAAATAAAGTATTTCATAGTCTCTATTTATTTAAATAAAAACTTATCTAATGAGCAAGCGGTCAATTGAACTGTAACATTATTTGATAATGAGACAGGAATGGTCTTGTTATTTGACTCAACATTATTACTAATAGCCATTGTTGAAGATGTTAAAATTGAATGATTATTGTCATTTTCTTTTTTATTTGTACTATTATTACAACTATTAGCGGTACTGTTACTATTACTATTATTGTTACTAGTAGTATTAGTAGTAGTAGTAGTAGTAGTAGCAGTAGTAGTATTTTTATATTGACTAGAATTACTATTGCTATTACTATGACTATTGACTAGAGCTAAACCGGTCATTGCTGTATTAATGCCAAGACTTGTATTAGCTGGTTGATTTTCATCAATATCATCTGAATCGATTTCATCATCAGTTGTATCGTCTTCATCGACGTTAATATTTCCTTGTTTAGTAAAATGATGTGTTTTTACACAATTTGAATTATTTGTTGATTGTAATAGTGAAGTGTTAACAAGAGTACTTGGAGAAAACTGATCAATAACACGAGGTAATTTTGATGGAGAACACAATGTCATTGTTGTTTTTGTTTCTGTCTCTGATGCCATTGTTGTCGTTAATGTGTTTTTAGTCGAATTACTACTCCCTGATAAACAATAGTTCTCATTATTATCATCTAATTCAGTAGTTAACGGTGGATGACTAGTTGATTTAATTAACATTTGTTGATGATTGCCTACTAATCTTGCTTCTTTCATCTTTTTCTTATGATTATTATCATTAGAAGAGTTTTCATGCTCATGAATTGAATGCAAAGTAGAATTGGAAGATAATGATGATGTAGGCCCAAGTGAAAATCGTGAACTTGGTCGAACTTGATGAGAATAATGTTGATAACGATGATGATCAGTAGTATGTTGTGATAAAAATTGTTGACAACTTTCTGAAATTCGACCAACATCACTATTATGTTGAAGAATTTTTACATCAATATCTTTTCTTTTCGCTTCATTTGATTCAGTAGTAACATTAATACCAGAAGTACTGGTAACGGAGAACATTGGTTTATTGCAAATCTCTTCTCGATTAAGTGAGACATAAGGTAAAGAAGCATCGATATAATTAATAGAGTTCTCCGCTTTACTTGGCATCAATGTCCTTGTAAGAGGTGTGGCTTCTTTAGATTTTCTAGTATTTCTGTTATTTGTCTCTATTTTCTTCGTTTGTTTAGTTGAAGAATTCGCTGTCTGTAGAAATAAACGAATAAAATATTATTATTATTACCATTACAAAGTTGTCAATCAAATTACGTTGATCAATAAACAAATATTTACAAACCTATGCCATAACTGATCGACTTGAAGCAGTGTCACTCAGATTCTTCAGCCACTGTTTACGATAGTCACGCGGACCCCAACCAAGTAACCTGCATCCACTAACATGGCTCACACTAGAAGTTAATGACTTCAAGCACTGATGCCACGTTTTGGTTTGGCCGCCCCTAACCTTCTTCCAATCATCCCCAACACTAGTCAGCATTGCACGTCGTGGTAATCGGTGTTCAGGCATACGTAACACGTGGCCCAACCATCTCAGTCGATGAAGATTCACAACCTCACCAACTGATTTACCATCATTCCCTAAAACCCTGTGTCTAACCTCACTATTACTTATCCGGTGGTCGTAGCAGATGTTGGCAATATTTCTAGGACATCAGCCATCAAATACCAGTAACTTACGAGTATTTTCTGCTCTTAATGGCCACATTTCACAGCCGTAAAGTAAAACAGAACGAACTAATGCATAGTATAATCGTCCCTTAATTGATGAACGAATATCTCGCCTTCGTCATAGGTGACGTAATTTGGCAAAAACTAAACGAGCTTTTTGAATCCGTACAGAGATTTCGTCAGACACTAACCCACTAGGGCTGATCAGGCTTCCAAAATAAGTGGAGTTGTCGATACGTTCAACTACATCGCTTCCTATCCTTAGTTCAGGTGTTCACGCAGGCCAGTCCTGAAGCATCCCAAACATCCTGGTATTGTTGCTCAATGCTACCAAAAGACTGTATTTTATCAGTGTCTTCACCAAACAGAACTGTCATCTGCGTATTCTAAGCCAATAAATGGACTTCCTGGTAGGAGATCAATTCCCGAAAATCCAGTCGGCGTGAATATTATTACCAGTAGTAGGTCTATGACGAAATTAAACAAAAATAGATGTAGTGGACAACCATTAAGATGTTCACATACAGGAAATATGCAAGAGTGTGAAGTTCGACGCAAACGTGACCAATTTGCCACACCCTATTACCACAAATCGATGAAATTGTTAGGGTAAATCCCAGAGTAGTAGAGATAATCACAGTATTATTGGTAATAGAAGAAACCAGGCATCGAAGATACGACTCGAGAAAATAAAAAGATTGAGAAATCCGGATAAAGACAAAGAATGGACGCACCTGCGCCACTATAAAAGGTTTCGAGTCGGATCATTTAAGTCAGTCAGCCAGCTACAACGTAGGACCAGGCACATATATGCATCGGTCCCAGTTGCCACACATCATTAACACAACAAGATGGACACCGGATTCATAAAAGTAGTTAATTCAGAGGTGGTAATATAAAAAAGAAAGATTGCAATAAGTATATAGTATAGGAAGAAAGAATTAGTTCGTAGAAAGAAAGATATGAAGCGATTTTAATCTCTTAGTTTAAGGGAAGACAGAGAGTGTATACACCGACGCCATTGTGATCGATTCTGAGCCATGTCACCAAGAGTCTCCAACCATTGGTTACGATAGTCACGCGGACCCCAACCAAGTAACCTGCATCCACTAACATGGCTCACACTAGAAGTTAATGACTTCAAGCACTGATGCCACGTTTTGGTTTGGCCGCCCCTAACCTTCTTCCAATCATCCCCAACACTAGTCAGCATTGCACGTCGTGGTAATCGGTGTTCAGGCATACGTAACACGTGGCCCAACCATCTCAGTCGATGAAGATTCACAACCTCACCAACTGATTTACCATCATTCCCTAAAACCCTGTGTCTAACCTCACTATTACTTATCCGGTGGTCGTAGCAGATGTTGGCAATATTTCTAGGACATCAGCCATCAAATACCAGTAACTTACGAGTATTTTCTGCTCTTAATGGCCACATTTCACAGCCGTAAAGTAAAACAGAACGAACTAATGCATAGTATAATCGTCCCTTAATTGATGAACGAATATCTCGCCTTCGTCATAGGTGACGTAATTTGGCAAAAACTAAACGAGCTTTTTGAATCCGTACAGAGATTTCGTCAGACACTAACCCACTAGGGCTGATCAGGCTTCCAAAATAAGTGGAGTTGTCGATACGTTCAACTACATCGCTTCCTATCCTTAGTTCAGGTGTTCACGCAGGCCAGTCCTGAAGCATCCCAAACATCCTGGTATTGTTGCTCAATGCTACCAAAAGACTGTATTTTATCAGTGTCTTCACCAAACAGAACTGTCATCTGCGTATTCTAAGCCAATAAATGGACTTCCTGGTAGGAGATCAATTCCCGAAAATCCAGTCGGCGTGAATATTATTACCAGTAGTAGGTCTATGACGAAATTAAACAAAAATAGATGTAGTGGACAACCATTAAGATGTTCACATACAGGAAATATGCAAGAGTGTGAAGTTCGACGCAAACGTGACCAATTT